ATCGTCATGTTTTGACCAACTTTTCCTATAATTTTGACCAAGTAGTAGAAATGTTTCCCGAAAATGTTGTCGACGGGGGGAGGGGGGGTTGTCAAAAAATTTTCCGGACTAACATAAGCAAAGCTTCAAATATTTTTCGACCAAACTAAGCAAAGCTTCCAATTGTTTCCGTGCAAACATGACAAAGCTTAGAAATTGTCAAAATTGCGAACGATTTCATAACTTTGACCATCTTTTATCTCAAACATTGACCAAATTTTACCAACTTTGGCCTTCAATTTTAAGCAAATATTAGTTCCATTTTGACCAACTTTGACCAATTTGAATTTTTGGGGGGTTGGGGCCCCCCCCCCCCCCCCCCCTGTAGCGACGTCCCTGCTTTCACCTTACTTCATATTTCTAGATATTCAATCATCTTTATGAAACACAACAAAAACATTTACTTGCCTTGGATGTGCTGTCATTTCACTGCACCGCCTCGGAGAAGGACATTCTCAAGTTTAAAAATATGGAAGAACTTGATCCAATACCTGAAGACCTGTGGAGGTAAAGACAAAACGAATGTTAGAAATGTGTGAAGGACGATTTACGCTACACAACTTTTGCCTAAAACTGTCGCATGCAACCTGCTTACAACTTGAGTTATACTCTGTAATTCGTAAGTGAGTTGTGTGCTTGATTTACACAGTACAATAGTCAAGTTGCAAGCAGGTTGTTTGCAGGGTGTCCACCTTTTGGTGAAGGTGAAATTCCAGGACTTTTCCAGGACTTTCAAGGCCATTTTTCAGTACATTGAAGGACCTGGAACTGGGAAAAATCTTTGAAAATGGTAGAGCAGCAAATAATTCATTTTATTCAGTAATTTTAATCAAAATCACTAATGTTGGCACAGCTGGAGGTCTGCTGATTTTCTATTGATTCAAGGACTTCTACTGATTTTCAAGGACTTTCCGGTCCTGGAATTGTTTTTCCAATCCAAAAACTTTCCAGGATTTTCAAGGCCCGTGGACACCCTGTGTTTGTTTTGTAGTAACACGACGATGACCGTTACTGGACTTCTAGGGAGAACAGTTTCTGCCTGAAAGAACTATCCAGTATCTACTTTCTGAACCCAGTGCAACTTATCCAAGTCATATTTTCTTTTCTCTTTAGTTTCAACTTCAATTTCTATCAAGACAGTGATTATCTCCTGAAACTTGCGATTATTATGGCAGAACAAGTGTTAGAAACTTGTGAGATCAGGTTGACAACTTTTACAAATTATTTAAGTTTAACCAGTTAAACTAACTAAACTAACTTTACGAACAAAGTCTAAACTTTCGTACATTGTTTCTTATAGTGTCGACACGGACACGCTGCATCGTTTTATGTTAACTGTGAGAAAGAACTACCGGCCTCTGGCCTATCATAGCTGGTCTCACGGCTTCTCTGTCGCGCATATTCTTTGGCTTATTTTCACTCAATCTCCTGACACATTTACAGTAAACGAGGTACGTAGCCAACAGTCAACATATCAAGTACAATCCCTATTATTCCCATTATTATCTTCACTATCATCCCCCCACATCCATCATCAGCATCATTACCACCATTATAAATATCATTACCACCACCTTCACACACTATCCCCACTGTCAGCACCATCTCCACTACCAGCATCGTCATCACCATCAAGATAATATAACCATATCATCACCACCATCACCCTCAACATAACCACCACAGGGTGTTAGCCAAAAAAGTTTTGTCCGTTAAACGTAAATTGGGAAAGTTTTTTTGACCGATCAAAGTCCTTGTGTAGGAATAAATAGTGTTTTTTTTCCCAACGTGTTTCTCCTTAGACGCAAACAACGGTAACTTGGTTTTGTACATTTCCGGTCAATGAACACTGAAAAATGCACCCGATGGTACTTCGTTTTGTATATTTCATTTCCGGTGAATGAACATGGATGCACACCGATTACACTTTGTTTTGTACATTTCATTTCAGTGAATACACACCCAATATGAATGAAACGCGATACATTTTTAGAAAATAGTTAATGGTAAAAAGTAAATAAAACGTTCTTTGATATAATAATATAAAATCAAACGCAATGCACTTTCTCATCAGAAAAAATGAAAATCTTCCAGTAGACCCAGTTGGGAAAGCCCCTTAGCTACTTCAATTGGGAAGAGTCAGTCAAACGGACAGTATATGGGCTAGCTAAACCCTGCATCATCACCATCACTACCGCCATCATCACTACCACCACCAACTTCATCATTGCCACCACCATCCTTACCATCCTTACCATCATCAGCACCACAATCAAAATCACCTTTCTTTCGACAGAAACTAGGCATGTTCTTTGGTGCTGTATGTCATGATGTTGATCACCGTGGTTTTAACAATCAATTCCTGCAACTGATTAAATCTCCTATTGGATTACTGTATCAAACATCCACAATGGAATGCCATCATTTAGACCACACGTTATATCTTTTACAGGTTAGGAATCGCTTCACATTCTCATTTTATTGCATTATTTAGACTGGAGACAGGAAAAACGCTTTACTGGAATGCAGCCTTAAGACTTCGAAAGGGAAACTGTAAAGGAGGATTTTCACTACACAACTTTTGCCTAAAACTGTCGCATGCAACCTGCTTACAACTTGAGTTGTACTGTGTAAATCAAACACACAACTCACCTGCGACAATGTAAGCGAGTTGGGCGCTTGATTTACACAGTGCAACTCGCATGCGACAGTTTTAGGGGAAAACACTGTAGTGTAAAACGGTCTTAATTAACTTGTCTTAACTAACATAGCATCAATTCACGTTATTATTTTCTTAGCACGATGATCTGAATATTTTTAAAAACATTGAAGAGACACAACATAGCGAGGTTTGTAAAAATGATCACTTGTCGTAGAAATTTTAATCATTAATAGGCTCATATGAAGACTCTATGAAAGTAGTCAGTAGTCGCTCATCATATTTTCTTACTAGATCATGGCAGTAATCAAACAGACAATTTTGGACACAGATATCACGCTGTTTACTCTAAGTCATATGGAACTTGAACCCATCGTTTATGCAGGAGAATTTGATTTTGGAAACGAACGCCATAGGTAATTATTAAAAAATCAAGTAGATTATATGCACATCATAGATTATACCGGGTGACATTTGCTTTACTATTATAGGCAGCGAAAAAACTATAAGAGCTACGTCGCTCAAATAAATGTAGCTACAGATTCATAAAAGGCTAACTTAAATTTTGATAGGTTATTATATTACTTAAATAATCTAATCTTTGATAAATATGATATCTTGATATTATTCGACTATACTTATTGTAGAAAGTTGTTTAAACATGAATTGATAACAGCCGCAGATCTGTGTGCCGTTGCAAAGCCTTGGAACATACATCGACAGTCGGTGAAAAAAGTGTTTGAAGAATTTTATACCCAGGTGAGGAAATTTTTAATTTCACATCATTATAGACTGCTCCAGTATGACTCCACCAAACACCGCAGGTTTTCTTTGGGTACTCTCATTTTTTCGTGTGGAAACACTGGATAAGTAAGGGATGGCCAGAGAGAACAGTTTACAACCGATAGAGCTATCTACTTTAGATATCTTCCTGTAGCAATACTGGGTCAAAAGCGAGTGCCCTTACTGAACCTCGAAGAAGAACAGTTTAGAACTGGCGGAACTGCACATGATAAAGTTAAGTTAACTGACAAAAAACAACATATTTTCAGGGAGATCTTGAGAAACAGATGGGACATACGCCTATTCCACTTATGGATCGAGACAAGAAAAATGAAGTGCCAAAGTCGCAAGTGAGTGTTAAAATTTCCTAAGTACAACTACATCACTACCAACATCATTATCAACATCAACACCAACATCACTTGTATCACCACCATCATCATCACCACCATCACCACCATCGTCACCAACATACTATTATTACAATAATCCCCATACTATCATCATCACCATCATTACCACCATCATTATCATCATCATCACCATACTATTATCACCATAATCCCATTCCATCATCTACATCATTATCACCATCATCACCAGCATCACTTGTATCACCACCATCATTATCACCATCGTTATCACCACCCTTATTATCATCATCATCACCACCATAATCCCCATACCATCATCAACATTATCATCATCATCATCAGCATCACTTGTATCACCACCATCATTACCACCATCGTTATCACCACCATTATTATCATCATCATACCATCATCACCATAATCCCCATGCCATCATCAACATCATTATCACCATCATCAACAGCATCACTCGTATCACCACTATATCATCATAACCCTCATTCCATCATCAACATTATTATCATCATCATCACCACCATACTATGATTACCATAATCCCCATACAGTAACCACCATCATACCATCACCATTATCATTGCTGTCACCACCATCATAATCACTATTACTATCAATCTTACTAGTAGTAAATTTTAAACTTTTAATTCTATCCAGGTGACTTTCTTCTCCGCTATGGGTATAAAATGCTATGGAATACTTTATGAAATATTACCCTGTACAGAGCCATTGCTGGAAAACGCAAGGTAAACATATTTATACCCGTTTACAAGGGACTATTATTATGTAAGGAAATTCATGTGAAAAACCTCGGGGTATTTTGGTACATTTCATCCCATGGGGAATGTTAACAGCGTTCAGGGGTTTCAGAATGATTTGAAGTAGGCGGTTGTACCAAAAAAGTAGCCGGTTGTGACTGATAGTTAAAAAAACACGCAGGGAGGGGGGGGGGGCGTGCCCACGCAAGGAAATTTAAAAAATGTTCGCGCGCAAATTAACAATCAAATAATATAGAATAAGTGAGAAGATAAAGTACAACTCACTGTTCACTTGTTAGATTTATATGTCATTTGCATTTATATTTGTAAGTGACAGTGTACTTTAATGTGCTACTTGTAGTTTAATCACGAAGGTGTTTGCTGTCCGGAAAATGAAGACGCAATTTACAAACAAAAATATGCATATTCTACGCACAGACATATTACAGTAGCTGAGTAGCATGCAGTGCCGTAGGAAGCTCTTTTTGATTAGGGGCTGAGAACGAGGGCCGAAGGCCCGAGGAAATTTTTTAATTTAGAGTCTCTGAAATGCCATTTCCTGGACTTTGGGGAAGTTTAGAACAGAATTCTGATGGTCAGAAAACAGCGTTTTAGTATGTCGAAATTTACAATTTGTTTACAATTTAGTAGTACTAAATGGGCGAAGGCGTATTTAATTAACTATATATTGGAGAAGTTGCAGGAAAGTATGGATAACATGATTCTTTGCAGTTTGTCATGGATAATGTAGCCGCTTAAAATTAATCAATTGTCAGTATTTTAAAGGTATATTATTTAAATGATAAAGGTATGCATGCATATTTACCGATTTACGATTTGTTAAATGTTAATATCCATGTAAATGCCATGATTTCGTAAATCAGTTTATACTGACAATACAATTATATTATATTTTCTCTGTTTAACAACTAAAATTTTGTTCTACTATTATTGTCGTAATTTTCCGAATGGCCAACCCGATTTTCCGAATATGTTAATTAACCCCCCCCCCCCCTTAGGCCCAGAGTTTTTCACTTCATGACTTTATCATAATTAATTCGTTGTCAAAGAATTAGTCACTTGCCAAAAACATTTACCAAAGTGGCTCTGAAGGTTCTCTGGCTCACTGTCAAATTCGGATTCCCCAATGGCAATGCTTAAGTCGCTGTCAGAGTCAATCAGAGTTATCTTCCAGGAAGATTCACTTCGACACCAACTTAGAAAGCAAGCTATGTTTGGTACTATATATTATTGATCTTATTGATCTTCCAAAATAAGTGATGTTTTGCTTGAATTCCAATTGGAACATAACAAACATCGTGTTGGTTCGCTTGTACCTTTGTATATAATTTTTTCCCTGTGACCAGACGAAAAGTAGCCGGCGGTAAAAGTTCAAGTAGCCGGCGGAACTCCGCCGGCCGCCGGCTTATTCTGAAACCCCTGAGCGTTGGTGTGGATACAATTAGATTCGGGACGCCAATAGTGTTAGCTGCAATTAAATATATATCATAATTAAGTAAATACACGTTATTATTTAACATAAAAACACGTCCTGTGATTACAGAGATAACCTGGAAGAATGGAAGAGACTGGCAGGAATAAGTGAAAACACTGAGCCTAAAAATGTGCCAATGAAAAGATTTGAAAACCTGATGCATGGCCGTAGGGACTCTTCGGATGAATATTCAGAATCAACGTCACAAAATAACATGCCTGATGTAGCGAATGAATAAAATTATTTGGTTAGTCGTAATCAATGATGTAATTTTTTAATCACATAATATATGTAAAATCTATACCCTGAGTTGTGCTCACTCTGCTTGTTTTAAGGTATTAAGAAGTTGCATACAAGATTGTATTATAATAGACAATTCCCATTGTAGACTAACTTTAAAACTAGGCAAGGAGATGCAACTAAATCACCACAGCTAGAAAGAGCATGCTAAAATTAGTAAATTTGCAAAGTTTGGTTGCGAAATGTTGTAAAATGCGGAAAGTATAGCCTTGCAAAGTTCGTAAATTTGGTATACTTTTGTTTTGCGTGCGGAAATTGCTGATTTTCGGACCAAATGTGGCAGCAATTTCCGCGCGCAATACAAAAGTATACAAAATTTGCGAACTTTGTGAGGCTATATATTTCCTCATTTTACAACATTTCGCAACCAAACTTTGTTATTTTACTAATGTTAGTATGCTCTTTCTGGCTGTGGTGATTTATTTCCATCTCCATGCCTATATAGTTTTAAAATTAGTCTATAATGGGAATTGTCTATTGTCTGGGACTGGGTTGTGAATTTTTTTACACTTGGCCCTCTAACATGACTCGATGCCTGCTGCGACCCTGCGATCTTGTCTTCTATTAAACATCATGTGAATTTATTTCGGTTTCAAGAGGTTACGACAGAGCTTTGTCATTCAGAATAGTTTTATTCAGGATTGAAATTTGGAAAAATGCTTTTTATGAATTATGGCTAGTGTAATTTTGGGATTGTAAATGAAACAAAAAATGTATTTTCCCGTTACGAAGAAAGCCTAGAAGATGCGAAAAGTTCCATTTCATTTGTACTCTATGATAAATTTCCATTGTATTGACAGCTTACATTGCCTTCTCACAGTCTAAACTTTCATAGCTTTCCAAGGATTCATTTATGGTCTTCAACGATGTTTTAATTCTGGTAGCATTCTTGAATATAATGGAAAATTACTTGGACGATCGTAATGAGTACAATACATGCTGTGCGGAAATATCTAGAAATCCGCTCGTCTATAGAATGTAACGTATACAGTTATTTTTTCTGCTAATGCTGTTTATCAATAAGTTGAAAATAGATATGGACAGGTACCAGTCCACTCATACTTTCGTTGCCTTAGAAACGAATATAACAGATGGATCCTGAATGACAAGTGAAATTAAACTCAGTGAATATCCTCTGTAGTTGTAAAACACCAGGACATCCAGAAATAAATCGGAATAAGTTTTTTTTATCTAAAACTGGTAAACTTATAATGGAGATGGAAGAGCCGGCGTGAGTAAACATTTTATTCTGAGGTAAATAATAGAGTACATATATAAATCATCTGTATATATGAATACATTCAATTATATGAATTGAATATAGATCTTCATTGAGTGCTGAGTGATATAAAATGGTTATTGCAATAATCATTATGTGTTATAAGCCTATCAATGCATGGCCATACCGTGTATATACTAAAGCCGTATTAATAACAAAGTTGGAAGTGGATATACACTCAAGTTAGTTTCCTTCAAACGAAAGTAGTATTGTTATCATATAGGACTGAAAAAATTTAAAAAAAAAGTTTATTAAGTTTTCAATGCTCTAAGACAATAGACTACTGACAACACACTCATGGCCACAATTCATTGCTGTTGGAAACAGCGACTCGTGTAAACATCATTGTATAAAACTGAAAACATTCAAATAAAATTAAAAACAAACTCGCGGCTGTGTGTGTGTGCAGTTCCGGCAAATGCTTTGTCGGCGAGGGTATTTGTGGTCACTTATATATAATCATATTATCAGCAGTAATTTGATATATGTCCTCGCGTAAAGCCTGCCTAACGTCCCGACAAAGGGCCCGTTCACTCAAAACGTCGAACTACTGTATGTATTTTTCATATATAGTTGTATCCCTATCAAAGGGAACATATATTTAACGTAGCATAATAAATTAATAACTCACATTCACTGCGAATGTAGCAGGAACATTTTTCAAACTTCTAGTAATTTTAAACAACTTTTGAACATACTGAAGAGCTTGAATAGCCTAACGGAAATCGACGAAGCAGAAAAAGTTAGTTGAACTTTACATCTCGTCGCCTGTATAATATCGTGTAAAGTGAAACTCGGAGTTGCGATTTTGCTTCAACAATAAATGTATATTTTTTGTATAAATTCACATTCGGAAATTTCATCTAAAAAAACATTCTACAATTTACAGTTATATCGAGTGCAGATGCCCCAAATTCTAATATTTTGTTAATTTCAATTTCTAAATCTCAATTTTCTTATTTTTTCCAAGTACATCCTTCAAGTATCAGCGGCGGTGAAACGATGAGTTCAAGAGATAAAGTGGACAAAAGTAAACAAGTGCAAGCCACGGCGGGAAAAACAACAAGCAAAAGCAGCAATGATGCCAAGTCGAATGTTACAAGCACCGCAAAAGAAACGAAAAGGGAAGAGAAAGATTTAACGAAGAAAAAGAATGAGGAAAGTGAGGACAACGACGAAGAGGATGATAATGTATGTACATTGAACTTTGTTATAAAATCCATTTTGTTTGTCCTCGAAAATTACTACTCTGCTCACGAATATAATTGTATTGCTCAGAACGTCGAGGAGTATTTTCATGTTTTTCAGACCGACATAAACGATTCCCACGCAAAACTTGTTTGTACATATGCAAACTAGATATTAGTTAAAGTTTAGATGTCTGGAATATTGGCGCGCACAGGGTTACCATTAAACTCATAACATGTTATACATATTCGAACAGGGCTAACGAAAGGATTCAAACTAACCTTTTGCATCGCTGGTGTAGATTCACCAAGAAACAAATCCACGATAAGAATATCCCAATCCGCTGCTTTACTGTGCTGCAATGTTCTTGAAATATAATAAAAAATATTTTAAATTTTTAATAGGCTGATGATACCGAAGAGGATGATGATGAAGAAGATGATGATGATGAAGAAGATGATGATGAAGAAGATGATGATGATGATGAAGAAGAAGAAGATACCAAAGCAGCTCAGAAAGGAACTAAAGCCAGTAAAACAGATGAAAGCAAAAGCAAGGATGCCAAAGAGAGTAAAGACACTAAAAGTACATCAAAAGATGTAGAGAAGGACAGTGATGATGATGATGATGATGATGATGATGATGATGATGATGATGATGATGAAGAAAATATCAAAGCAGCTCAGAAAGTAACTAAAACCAGCAAAACAGTTGAAAGCAAAGCCAAGGATTCCAAAGAGAGTAAAGACACTAAAAATACATCAAAGGATGTAGAGAAGGACAGTGATGATGATGATGATGATGATGATGATGATGATGATGATGATGATGATGATGATGATGATGACGATGACGATGACGATGATGATGATGATGATGATGATGATGATAAAGGAAAAACTAAAAAAACTTTGACCTCAAAAACCATAGACGATAGTGATGGCGATGATGACGATGATACTGAGGAAGACGATGGTGATGACAGTGATGGTACTCCAGCAACTAAAGGCACTAAAGCAAAGAAGGACGCCAGTGAAGTGGGAGATACAGATGAAGAAACGGAGAATGAAGATGAGGAAACGGAAGATGAGGAAACGGAAAAAGAGGAAACAGAAAAAGATGAGGACGCCGAGGTTTGTTTATCAGTTTTTTGATTAACCATAAGCCACAATCTAAACCGAATCAGTTCTACATGGTTATTCATTGAGATTCAGTAAAAGCTCCGGCACTTAACCAATTTCCCATGCGTAATACAAAATGAATGAAAAACGGCAAATTTCGCAAGGCTATATTATCCACATTTTACAACATTTCGCAACGAAACTTTGGAATATTACTAATTTTGTGATGCTCTTTCACGCTGTGATGAAATTATTGTCTAGATCAAAATTTTAGTTATAAGGGGAAAGGTCCATTGTTCCTATTCAATTTGTTCTGTTTTCTAGGAGGAAGACAAGGAAAGTGACGAAGACGACGACGACGACGACGACGACGACGATACGAGCGGTGATGAAACAGCAAGCAGTATTCCAAGTTTAAATGAAGATGATTCTCGCAAAGGAAGTGACGACGAAAGTTTGAATTCCTCACAACAACCAATGTTGAGACTTAGCGCAATGTCACATATCTCAGGTAATAATGAGCTTATATCGCTCTTGGAGCAATGGAGCTAACGCATAAATATGTTTAAATAATTTTTTTTTGAATAATAATAATCTTGAATGGTCTTTGCTAGTGTAGGTAGACTGGCAAAAATAAGAAAGCTTCAGATTGATAGGGATACAACTACCTGAAAAATACAAGGAGAACTTCGACATTTCGAGCGAAGGCCCTTGTTATTGTAAAACTGTTTATGTGTGATTATTTTGACATCAGAAAGAAAATGTGAAATGACAAACTTAAGCGGAAAAACTGCGAAGAAAACCTGATTCTGCCGTTTGCTGTTGTCCTCAAACGTGAAGTTTTAACTCCCAGTTGAATTAGTTGTACTATTCGTCCTAGGTATGTCAGATTTACTACCAGTGAAGGTTGAACAGGAAGAAGAGACGAAAGAAGATGACGAAAATAAAGTGGAAGAAGTAGAAGAAGGGAAGCCGGATGAAGAAAATAAAGAAGTTGATGAAAAGAAGGGTGATGAAAATGGCGAGGAAGTCAATGACGAGGAAATGGTAAGAATCAATATATCAAGAATAAAAACAACTGAGATTTACACAGTACAACTCAAGTTGTAAGCAAGTTGCATGCGACAGCTTTAGACAAACGTTGTGTAGTCTAAATCAGCCTTTAAACAATTACGACAGAACTAAATGAGCCGTACTCAGTATAATAGAATCAATTTAGGTTTCTGGCTGTAGTAACACTAGACCAATTAGCTGAATAAGGATTGGCCCTGCTATAGAACTATCCAGCACAAGGAAAGTAATATTTTGTATCATTTTAGCCTCAAGAAGAAGTGATTGAAAGTGATCGTTCGTTCTCGCCAGTCGAAGTGAGTCTTTCGGAATTCGACGACAAAGACAGCGATGTTTTCAACGAACGAACAGTAACGGAGAGAGAACTGAGTTCGAGACAAGCTGAGTCGCCTAGCGACCGCGCAGAGAGCACGCTTTCTCACGTGACGGTGAGAGACAAGATGCTGTTCATCCGAGGCGCATACGAGAACGATGAAGGCGCATTGACAAGCGAACCAGAATTTAGGAAAACTCAAAATGCCAAATCGCGCGAAATAATGCGAAAAAATAAACATCGAATTTGGTATGAAATACCAGAAACTTCTGACGAGGAAGGGGGACCTAAGAGCGCGAAAACACGCAAGAAAACGCTGGAAAAACGCCGCACGGAATTGCGCGCACGTTCACGTAAGAAACGCAGCAGTGCAAGTGCAGCACGCAGCGCAAATAAGAGTGCGACGCGGACACGTAAAACGAAACCGACACGCAAACGCGCACGAGCGCAAGCCACAAGCACGAGTATCGTATTGATAGAACGCACAGAACAGACTTTTGAGGAGTGTAATAGCAGCGGGGAGAGTATAAGACCTCTCGAGAGTTCCATGAGTATACGCATTGTCGAGGATAGATACGATGTTTTTGAAGATTTCTCAGACTCGAGGTCGACGGTGGATCCAGACAGTTCAGGTGAGAGTGGAGGGATAAGACGGAAACAGACGCCAGACCTTGAGAGCGAGGAAGAAGTGAAGCCAAAGAAACGACGTAAAACAAAGACGAAAAATAATAACAAAGAGAAAGATAAGGAGGATGTTAAGGAACGTGTCAAGGAAAATGTCAAGGGAAATGCAAAGGGTACAGGACAGAAGAAAACACAACAAGAGAAAGAAGAAGAGATGTCGAATAAAGAGGTAAAGGAGAACAAAAACAAAAATCAAGTTTCTGAGTGCTTTCAGATCGCAGGTTTTCGCAAGATATGATCTTGGACGGTCAGTGTAAGACAGCTAGTTTATAACAGCATATAGCTATCCGTACAGAAAAATCAGTTTATATAACCAAGTTTTTATGTTCTTTACCGGACTGTGAGAACAGTTTAGGACAGATAGAGCTATACAGGAAATTGATTTTGTGTTTTCAGGATGACATAGTCGAAGTTAAACCTAAGAAGAAAAAGAAGAAACAAGAGGATAAGGAGGTACAGGACGTGAACCAAGAGGATAACGAATTACACGAGATAACAAAAGTGGATAACGAAGTACACGAGATGACAAAAGAGGATAACGAAGTGCACGAGATGACAAAAGAGAGTAATGAAGTACTCGATGACAAACCTGATGATGAGAACCAGATAGATAAAGATGAACATGGCGGGAACGAAAACGAACATCCCACAAGAGATATGAGCGGAAACGAGGTAGGTTATGGTTAAAATTTGATGTCTTACGGACGCCAAATATGCAAATGAAAGAAACAAATAACATTGAGTGAAACCTGACTCTAAAACAACTTTCACCTAAATGTGAAGTGTTTAAACATATGGTTCAGTGGTTAAGGTTCATGTTTGCTTTAAGGGTCTTCGGTTTGCTTCTTTTATCTGTATACAAACTTAAACTGCTGTGCATATTGCAGGTGGACGAGCCCGATATCAAAGATAGAGGTGATAGCGGTATATCGCGAAGCACGCGCAGTTCAAGTACGCCTTCCCGTCATGCATCATCAAAATGGGCATACCGCACTACAAACTTGCACCCAGGCTCAGAGACGGAGGGTTCAGAGCGGCCTTCGCCAGTGAGAAAGAGACCTAGTCTGAAGTTCAAACAAATTCCTCCCAAGAAGAAGAGTAAAGAACTGCCTGTCCTACGAGGGATTCCGAGGGTTATACGAAGAGTAAATACGGAGACGATGCTTATGGCTGGTAGGTAATGCAATGTGTTTTTAAAAGACAATTAAGTATCTATCTTTCCCTAATAGTAAAATAAATTGACTTCGCTCAATGCTTTGCCAAATTGCGATTTTTATTGTTCCGCGTATTTTTCTGGCCACGTCCGCACTCCGCGTTTCCAACTTTCCTTAATTCCATGACCCGCTGCTAGTCACTAGTCACTAGTCTCCTCCGCGATAAAATTTAAATTACCGCGGTTACCATAGCAACGCCTAGCAACAAATGCAGGTGACACGTGACGTAAGTCAACAGATGTCAACAAGGCTACAAATGTGGACGGTTTGAAGTTATTTTCCTCTGAAAATAATGAAACGTTCTGCTTGAAATGGTAGTAAATGTCCCGTAAACTTTTATGCGATGAGTGTGGCGGTACAAGCGCATCAAACGCCTGCGAAATTTGGTGTGGATACGGCACAGTTTGAGGAAATAATCGCGCCGAAAGACGATCGTGTTTCTACACAGGCATCTTCTAGCAAAATGAATAAAGGTTCGGAAACTGAAACACAATCAAATAAAGAAGGGAATAAAAAATCGCAAAAGAAAGACTCCAAGGATCATTCTTCTTCTGAAGAAGACAGCTATGGCGATGATTTTGAGAGCGATGCGGGCGAAAGTCCTCGGAAATCTGTCTTGAAAAACACAGCTCGAAATAGCCCGAGTCCAAGACGATATTCGAGCCGTAATACTAGCCGCTCGCCTGAAACAACTCGTGCTAAATCGCCGAGTATTATATCACCTCGTTCAAGCAAAAAAGGGAAAAGAAGAAAACGATTTAAGCCTTACGAATCTCCTCGAAGTTTGAGTCCAGGTATCTTGGTTACTAGTTTGTCTAAACAAAAAACAACGCAACCACTTCAAAGTGAAGGGAAAAGTTTACTATACCTGTATAACGCTGAAGGCTTTTATTTAATGCGCTAATCTTTGCTGTACAAAAGTGATTAGAGTTGTAGTGTATTGTACAGTTATAATAGGTCGGATTAAGCATCATCCAATTACCATTGCATGATTTTTGTATTGTTTGTGTTTTATTTGGAAATTACTTGAAGCACACTAGGGAGGGCAACCAATCCCTGTGAATAACTTTTGAAAACCTTGGAATGATAGCTGAATAACTGTGTAACAAAGCTGTAACAATAATTTTTCAACCATGAAAGCATTGATCAGTAGGCTATATATTAATCTACATATTACATATTCCACTAAAAACAAGTCATATTGAGTCACTTGAGCGCAATTTTATTGTTTAATTAATATGTTTGTACTAATATACAGAGTGTATAAAAAAAAAACTGAACCCTTTCAAATTCAAATTGTAGTAATTGTATTGTAGTAATTTGACAGCTCTAATTGCCTTGAATTAATGGTTGGGTAAGAACACAAGGAATACTGTATTTCTTTTAAATTTTCTAATTTGTATTTCTTTGAGTTTTGTCCCATGAGTACAAGACCTAGTGTTCTTATCCAACCATTAATTTAAAGCAATTAGAGCTGTCAAATTACTACAATGAAAGGGTTCAGTTTTTTTTTTAAAGGAGGGCTCAGATTGGATTATTTGGGCCATCCTTGTTAGTTGAGTGTTACTAGAGGTGTTTGTTCAATTAAATAACCTGCAGTGTACATATTGACATACTTTGTCTCATGTGGTCTCATCAGGAGGTTAGGGCCTTTGCTTAAAGTGTTGAAATCTTAAAGACATTTCTTACATGCAAAATTATAATCAGAAAACTAGATATTGCAAGAATTGAACTCTTAAACTTGGGTGACAGGGATGAAAGAAACATGTATAGTAATGATGTTACCACCACTACAAATGTTTCTTAGGAATTAGGACACTATATAATTATTCAACTGTGGAATGCTAATTAGTTGCTTATTTTCAGCCACTTCCAGAATGCCGCCTGAGAAGAATTGGGGAAAGCCAAAGAACCGCTCGGCAAATGTCAAAGCTTCCAGAAATACCAGAATAGACCACACGGTCGTGGACAGAGTGCTGTCGGCGAATCGACACAAAGTGACAAAACTTGAAAGCAGACTGAGTCAACTTATTAAAGAACTAACGAAGGAACGAGAAGAGAACAAAACGCTGCGACTTATACAACACAGACAGGAAAAGAAATTGGAAAAAGTTATTGGGGAAGAAGCAGAGTTGCCACAGTTACTCGTGAAACATACTGCGGAAGTTAAGAGCTTACGCGAGAGAATACGCAAGCTGCAAGACACCTCGTATAACAAAGATGAGAAAATAGGTGAACAGGATAAGGCGATATTAAAATTAAAAGATAAATGTAAGTATTATAGAGAACTATGTGAAAAGGAAGAATTGACAGAGAAAGCTGATCTGGAGAAGAATCTTTCAAAAGCAGAAGAAAACTTGAAGAAAAGAGATGAAGAAATTTCAGTAAGTTTTTGCCATCAAATTTTACTGGCATTATGTCAGAGTACTTTTAAAAATAGAACAGTGACCTAACAGATTCTTTTCTGTCATTCAATAACAAGAGGCAGAGAGACAAGCTAGTGCTTTTCTTATAAAGTTGTGTTATATGCTTATTACCTAAAATTTAGATAATATATGCATATTGCCTATATAAAATTGTCATTTTCAACACAAAAATTGACCTTAGTAGGGTGACTTTTAGTTAGTAAAGTGCAAACTAAGGGACGTCCCCACTGCTCCAAATTCCTGGGGTGGGGGCGGGCGGTTCCCACACTTTCCTCAGACTATATATTTATAGAGATTTTGTTCATAAAATAGACATTTTAGTATGCAGCAGCTGTAGCCACAAGATTTATACAGTAATTTAAATGTAACTAAAAAGGTATGAAGAAACCAATCTTACTTTGTTTTCTCACCAAATTACTTTTTAGAAACTGCAGAGAATGCTGAATCTGAAAGAGAAAACTCATTCAAGACACTTGAAGGAGCACAAGGTTGAACTACGGGCGGCCCAGCAAAGATTGCAATTATTGGAGGAAAATTGTAACAATCTGCAAGGGAAGCTTCGGGTGTGTGTTTTATTAAAATACTTGTTTACATTTATTGGAATTTTTTTAACCAGCAATATTTTATCGTAGAGTACTACCTATACTAAAAACCCATATTTAACACATTTGTTTAGAATATGGTACATAAAAGACATAAATTTCGATTCAGAGTATTTGGTCAGAATTTTTCCCGCCAATACTTACAGTTGCCAGAGCGGTGTTCAACTCTTGTTTACTTTGCAATTTATTGATAAAATTGTCTCATGGTAATCACTTTTAGACTCTTCTTAACCTTCATATCCTTTAAAAATACCCAAAGATAGTTTCTCTTCACATATTAAGCGCGTTTATAGGCTTTAAAATCCTCATTTGTTGGACTTTAAAACTTCGAACATTCAAAATTTTTGAATTTATTGACTCAGCGCATGCTCAGAACCAAACACCTTTAATTTTAAAAGTAGCCAAAAACAGTTGCCAAAAACTACCAAAATAGACCAAACTCAGAGGACCAAACTATATTTGTGTAAAATCGGGCCGTGGTGGTTCTATTTTTTTGTCGCATGTGAAACCTTTACTGATCTCTTACTTTTTCGTAGGTGAGAGAAAAACAACTGGACTACACCAACATCTACCAACGACAAATCGTTTTGAAGGAAAAAGGTCAGGTACCTCCGGATTCCCCGCCTAAAATAGCCGCCTTGCCTTCGCCTAAACGTACGAAACCGAAAGGCAAAAATAACACAAACGCTAACCAAACGAAAGAAAATAAAGCGAAAGAAACTATTAATAATGCTGGCGGTAAGCACAATGACGATGAATCTAGTAAAAAGCCTAATTCTGTTTTCCTGACTGCACAAAGTGACAAGGATAGTGGGTCGGATAGAGATATTAATAAAAACAAACAAATGAATGATTTGTTGTCTATTACGGATGGGAAAAATGGTAGCAATGGCGCTATGGTTAATGGGAATAATGGAGTTTCTGAAGATGAGTTGAACAACAGTGAAAGACGTCGAAGGGAAGAATTTGAAAGGAATTTGAGAGAAGAAGATGAAAGATTGAAAAAAGAGAAAGGAGAAATGGAGCGAAGGTTGAAGGAGATCCAGGAAAGAGAGGAACGCGAGAAAACGGAAAGAGAAGCGAAATGGCGCGAGGACTCGGCCAGAAGGGCCAGGGAAGCTGAGGAGAGACAATTGGCGTCTGCCAGGAGGCGGGAGGAGGAGAGGCGGAAAGAGGAGGAACGGATAGCGGAGGACAGAAGACGGGAGGACGACAAAAGACGGGAGGACGACAGAAAACGGGAGGAGGAACGGAGGGAGAAGGAGAAGAAAGCATTTCAGAAAGACGACAGCTTTTTCGAAGATGAAGAATCACGACGGAAGAAAGACGCTCTACTCGCCAGGTATTCTATTTATTTATTTATTTATTTACTTTTCCACTTATGGGGACACACCGGAAACTACTAGAGTAGGTACGCGTCAATGTGTTTTTGTTCACAACATGTTCGAGTGCTCAATATGATATAGAGAAACTGTAGCTTTCTTCAGAGTTGCCATGACCTACAGCCTGTTCACCTTTTACTTTAAAGAACTTCTAGCATACCATAAGCATAATAAAGATTTCTTCATATCATACACAAGTAAAAAGAAAGGGTATTTCACAAGTTCCAAGCAGATTATAAGTTATTAGTTGAATAAGATTACTTATAAACGACAAGAGATGTCTTTAACATTGATTTTAATTCCTCTCATAGATTAAAAGCCATGGACAGCGACAAAGCATCGGACGAAGACCCGCAAAAGTTTGAAAACAAAAAATCTCCCAGAGGTGACGATTTCTGGAAACCTCAGGCGTCGAAGAGTTACGAGGCGAGAAAAGCAGATCAGAACCTACACAACGGTCTACCTGCAATACCTCGAGAAAATAAAGTCATCTCACCCACCGAGTCTGTGAAGAGCGACCCGGATGGCGTGTTTGGAGTACCTCGCCACAAACCGGCTTTACTTGGTCGAGGTGGTTTGACCAAGAAGAAAGATAACCAGTTTAGCTGGTTGGATGACAATAAAAAACCTGCTGCAAACAAGAACAAGGCAAAACCTGATGATGGTTTTAATTTTGGTGACTATTCACCAAGCGTGAACGATAATAAGAAAAAGTCCGATGACATTTTTGATATGGGGCTATCACGAAGGGCGGGACAGGGACGCCGCCGTGAAGCCGGGTTGGGGGATAACGGATTTAACTTTGGAGAGAGGCGGGGAAGTGGGGGTATTGAGAAAACGAAACCTCAGAACAATTCCCTCGGGTTTTTATCCGATGATTTTGGGAGCAAAAGAGGCGGAGAACAATCTAGTGGAGGTCCGGGGAATAAGTTGGACCCATTGCTGCCTCGGAGGCGAGCAACACAAGAGAGAAACGGTCCCACGGCCATTTCAAGCGCATTCGACGATGATTTGGATATTGAGGAATTTACTTTGTAATTTAAATATTATTAATATTGTACAGCTATATTCAACAGGTGGGTTTCACTAAGGGTGACATGCTGTTCAACTGTAAGTAAAGACAGTTAATTAGAGTGACTGAATTGTTTGCTTATGTCGATATCAGCCATGCAGTGAGGAGTCTATCACTTTTTCACTAGCGCTTGATCGTGGGGGTGGGGTTACCTAGCCAGAGCGCCACATCTGACCGCACAGTCCAGTTTTACCTCCATGCTACTCATACGCTCAGTTGGCGAAGAATCAAACCTGTGACCTTTAGATCTGCAAATGAATATGCTGCGCCATGTATTGGTACTGTATGACAAATACATGTTATAGAAGCATTTAGCATCATTTGCTAGCTAACATAGTTTTGTTTTGAACACCATGTGTCGCAGAATATAAAATCCTTAATGGAACCTACCTAAATAAGGCTAAGTTGACTTACATTAAGTGAATTTAACTTTAACAGTTGTATTTTAATAATATATATCATATTTAGTCGTCTTTTATATCTTCGTATGTTTTCATGCACCAAATAAAAAGCACATTGAATGTATACTTTAATGGTTGCAGTGCATTTAAATCTTCTGCCGCTAAAGTCTGTGTTAATAGTACAATAGCACATCAATAAACGCACTTAAAATAAATTCAAGAAACTTATTAAAGTAATTAAACCGAAAGTGAAAAGAGTTCGTCGAGTTTCCCCTGGAAGGAAAACATATTCACTTTTTTCACAACTAATTTATAACACTTCTTATCTAAATTTTCTTTACCATAATCTTTCGCTGAATCTTTTGCGTTGCGAAGTCATAAAATAACAACCCACTCACAATCGAGTATAATAAAAATCCTTTACAAAGTTTTTATTTTCTATTCAAGAAGTTTTCCAAATGTGAAAGTGGGTTTCAGGTAAGTCTTCCGCAGCAGCAGATCGTGGGAAACGTTAGAACAAGTTGTTCCAACAACTTGCGATCATCCTGCAATTGAACAATGTGTCAACAAGTTGGGAGTGACAACCTTGTAGCAACTTGATAAAATAACTGTTGCGAACACATCTTGTTGAGAAGTTGTGAGATTTTTACGTGTGTTTTGCTATAGGATTACGGCGGATTAGGAGACCGACATTACTCCCCGACCAAACATTGAAGTCGGAGGGGGCTGCATCTACCCCTCCCCCGTACACCCTGACTGCTAGTAAACACAATGAAAAGAATCAACATCAATTTCGCACTCTAATAGCTGACCACAATCTGCTGCACAATAAGTACTTGGTGAAACCCGTTTATAAATAAAAAAAACCCATTGCTAGTGGTCATTGCTTGACATTCTTAGTGGTCTTTCTCATTCGCCTAGAAGGCCAACCCTTTTCCCCACCCAATAAATTAATATCATAAATAACATTAAAATTCACGTCTTTTCTGCTGTCCAGGACTGATTCTATAACACTCTCTTCAATGTCCTCAAAATACTTTACCGAGGTGTACCCATCCCGTACCGACCGGCATAAAGTCACCATACCGGGGGTCGGGTAACTCTGTGTTCGCAACATACGCCGTACTCGTTTGAGACGCAGGAGTAATTCATTTTCTCCTGGTGAATGCTGGGTAACAATTGTTGTGTTGGGCTCATTAGCTCCATGACATAATTGAAAACCATTCGCTTGGTACGAACGCGGTGACGTTTGCATACAAAACCCTAGGTCTGCGCATGCGCGTATTTGGGGGACCGTTAAATCTATGAAATACTCAATGAGCTTTTCCAGTCGCTGCTGTCGAATGCTTCTGCTCATCGCACAAAAAATCCCTTTCTCCAAGTAGCTTTTGACCACGCGGGTTATATCAATGGATAACGCCTTACTTTTAGGGTTTCGTGGAGTAACACATGACACAGAAGCCTCTTCGCTTGATTTACAATGTTTGGTTATCAACGCTAATATCACTTGCATAAAACGATTAGCAATTCCTTCATGCGCTGTAAGTTCAGGACAGAAAACCTCGTTCATTAAATCATCTATTTCTTCCACTTCATCCCAAGGAATGCCAGCATCCACCAAGCGATGTCCTCTTAAAACACAACCAAAAAAATCTTCGTCGATATCGAGTAGTAAGGATTCTCCCTCTCCAACAAGCTGGCCGAGTTTTAGTTTGTTCAAAGCATTGTAGTCTACAATCTGTTGATATACCATATTCCCTTTAATATCACAATCCTTCGGCTCAATGTCGCTTCCGTCATAGTCCTCATCCTCAGAAAACATGGTTCGGTTAACGAACTGACATTCTTGTCTGGTTTTGCCGTCTTTGCTGTACTGGCATTCACAAAAATGTTGCTCATTGTCAGGTATGTCAAAAGTAGTTACGCCTCCTCCATATTTTACGCTAATATCGTCCCCTTCGTGCGTGTCTTCGTCCCAAGAAGGCCAGACCCATATGACTTTCTTGAACAACCCCGACATAACCGCTGCCTGAAAATAAGTAAAACATTACATGGAGGGTATAGGTTCGTCATTCATTGTAGGCCCCGTTTACACGAGCTACAAAGTCAAGCTGGGGGGGGGGGGTGCTCTGGTGCAGAGTTGTGTCGGTCATGTGTGCCGCCCGCCCATCAACATACTGTAGTTGAATTGTAATTGTTGTTCACAGATCGCTTATCATCACGTTATTGCTCAAATTACTGTATCTCATTTTGTCTCTAATATTTTTTGCTTCATATCATAAAAAATAGCAGTAAATCGATCCCTGGCAAAGAGTGCAAAAAGTTTGATCAGTATAATTATCTTTATTGCAATAAATTATTATTATTAATTTTTTTAAAGATGCGGTAAAGTCCGTTCTGCGCATATATTCTGCGCATCAAAACATTCCATCAGTGGGGGAGCAACCTTTGGAATGTTGTTAATATTTCGCTCTTTCCGAACTTTCTTGAATTGAATCTCTAGTCTGTATTCATTTACAAGCATAACGAACCAGAAAAGTGTTAAAAATTCAGTATAATATATATCTAATCATATTTTACAACTGTAGCAGTGAGTCCAAATGTAAACAAAGCGTTTGTTTACATTACGGACTTTACATCACCTTTAATTTAACAACTTTAATTTGGACAATTATATCAATAATTATATCAGTAATTATATTGACCTGAATAAAAACGTCGTTGCTTTGCATCATAGCTTTTACTTCACGATTATTTTTTGGCCATCGAAATACAGGATAGTCGTCTACCATCTCAGGAGGCGCCATGTCACTGTGCGCATCTATGTGCAGCTGGAATAAAATACAAGTTAATATTAAACTGACAAAATATAACAGCATTCTAATTATCATAATTCGCGAATTGATACTCATTTACAGTTGAAGGCTTTTTATGCTTTTATACATAGAAATTTCGAGCGAGAGATTAGATATATTTCAAACACTCATTAATAATTCATGAAGCAATTATCCAATCTTGAGTAAGAAATTAGTCACGTGCATACGTCTTTATACCAGCTAAAAAACACTTTAACCAAAGACCGTTGTTATGCAAACTATATAAAGATTTTTATATAAAGATTTTTATACAGGGTGTATAAAAAAAAGGAGACCTTTAGAAATCAAGCATATTGTTAAAATTTGAATGCCTTTTCAATTGCACATACGCTGAACCGTGGTGCGTGAAATATTGATGGAGTGCTTATATTAGAAAAGGAGACCTTTAGAAATCAACCATTGTTATAATTTGAATCCTGGAGCACTTTGCTAAGCCCACGAGTGCGTAGCATGCGATTTACGTACAGTATGCATGGCAGATTGTTCCCAGGAGCAGACAATCTTTTGTTTAAACCTTATTTCAATTTCTAAAGGTCTCTTTTTTCTAATATATGCACCATCAATATTACACGCACTACGGTTCAGCATATGTGCAATAGAAAAGGCATTCAAATTTTAACAATATGCTTGATTTCTAAAGGTCTCCTTTTTTTATACACCCTGTATAAAGATGTGACTATGCAAACGTTTTTGAAGCCATTTAAAAAACTCGCAGGTCGTGTTTTATTAGGTCTAAAGCCACTCGCGCTGCGCGCTCGTGTCTTTAAACCTAATAAAACACTCCTGCTCGTTTATTAAACAGTACAAAGTTCAGACTTAAACAGGAGCAGTTGCGACTATAGAGTATAGGCTAGCCTGCGAGCAGGCTTTCTGGGTGAAAATAGACCCTCTGACAGGAATGGAACCTACGGCCCTGCGACGCTCGACAAGCGATTCCGGAATCGCAGCACCGCAAGATCGATTCCTGCCAGAGGATCTTACAGTTGCATCGTTGCAGTTCTGTCGAGCGAGAGATATCTTATTTTATTTTATTTTACAATCTTTGTCAAATAAATGACAGGTTATACCCACAGAGCAGAACACTCCTTTACGGGTAACCTTAACTATTTATACAGAATACATATAAGTGATAATTATTAACAACACGATTTAACAGAGAGACTAGACAAGGGACGACATGAATGGCATTTAATACAGATTGTTTTGAAAGTTTGTGGAACACCAATGTCATAGATTTCTTCAGACATTTTCTGATAGTGCATGACTAAAGAGATTAATTTAAATTGATTAATAGAGAGATTTGATTGACGTAAAACTGATGGTAAACAGTTAAATGTCCTAGAAGATCTGCAATAAAAACTGTTTTGAAATGTTAATGTATTTGCACAGGGAATATGTAATGTATTTGAGCTGTTCCACTGTTTTCCCTGGTCACGCGACAAGTTGTCTTTATTTGGATATACGAATGTCACCAACAACTCAAATAGGATGAGACAGACGATAGACATTCAAAAGGGATGTCTACGGTCCGCTCGTGGGATGAAACAAGCATTTTGTACAGATAAATGATATCAAGATATTCATACCAGTATACGACAGTGGTAACAGACCAGTTTTTATGAGTCTCTCTTTGCATGGTATTCCCGACATGAATGGTAATGATAGAATATATCTGGTTGCGCGGCGTTGAACGTTTTCAATTTGAAGTATCAGTGATACCGATTGTGGTGACCAGACTTGTGTACAATATCTTGCGGACGAATTTGGGTCCGGTCTGAAATTCGGCCGTTTCGGCCGTGTAAACACACGAGAACCACGGAACCGGACGAATTTGAGAGCCCCTAACAGGACGAATTCGCGTGTAAACAGGCGAAAAAGGGACGAATTTCAGACCGGTCCCAAATTCGCCGGTACCGTGTAAACGGGGTGATTCAACGTACCAACACATTTCCTGATTTTGGTATTTTGCCTTTGTTTGCAGCATCAAACCAATATTCCAAAACTAAAACATTAAATTAAAAGAAAATATTTACATATGATTGACAGCAAGGTAATTGCTATTTGACCAAGCACCAGTTGAGAACAATTGTGGCTAACGCTTCAGTCATGCACATCCCCTCCTATACCTCATTTTGTCTTTCATTTTCTAAGCGCGGTCTTCAGAAAATGTGCCTCTGAATTAGGTGATTGGCCAGTGCTAGCCTGCGTGGCAGTCGCTTAAACTATTTTATTGAAGGTTTTGAGGACCATTTGTTCAAAAATCATGAAAACCTTCAATAAAATAAAGCGAGTGCTACGCAGGCTAGCCCAGTGCCATTGTCTGATTATAATTAAGCCTGGTTCACATTCATCGTAAACATCGGCGATGCCCATTGTCGGTGGTCATTGATGCATAAAATGTTTTGTGCATTTTCTTCTTCGTTGCTCACAGACAATGGATCGTACATCGTGTATTCTGCTACGGTAAAACGAGGATAACTCGAGTTAAGCCCTGGGCAAACTAGGAAACATTGTTGCGGAAACATTTAAATTTTAGTGTACGTCTGAAGGTGTTTCGAGTTAAGCCAAAACGTCACTTTCAATAAACGTTCATACACACATTTGTGTCTACGGTTTCCTGGCTGGGACAAATTCACTCATGAATATAAAGAAAACAGATAACAAAGATTGCGGGTCTCATGCACTCGCATCCTCGTTTTATCCGGCCTTTACCATGATAGCCCAGGGGAAACTAGCCTGCTACCTTTGGGAGTCTGCGACTGCGCGCAGGCTAAGGGGAAACAGTTAACTATCTTGTAATATTCGTCACGTGACAGGCTATTAAGTTGAAATGTGTGCTGACAACCAAATCTAATGAAAATATTATCATAGATTGGAAATGCGTTATCACAATATTTAATCATGCGAGCCAATTTTGCATTTAATGAATGACCATCTTTGGGCCCTTATTCACGAAAATATTGCATAGTTCGTGCAGTATTAAATATTGCCAAGTACGTTTGTGGGTCAACAGCTGGGTTAACCGCAGTGAAAGTCGTATTCTTTCAGGAATTAAAAGCATAACTCCGTCAGTACATGCCCACGCAGTAATTAGCTACTATTAATTTATTATTGATAAATTTTAACTAAAAATAAGCTAGCAGAGCATAACGAGTAACGTCTCTCCTAAAATATCCGAATTTTTAGTAGAAACAGCTAGTCAAAAAGTATTGAAAAGCTGGAAAGCATCAGAGCTGTGAATGTATAGATGGGTTTATAGGTGTGCAAGGTCAGTCAGTATATGACAGGATGGTTATCTGCATGATTTCATAATATGCAGTATTTTTTATATTCGGAGACAAATAAATGTAGTGTTGCATTTTGCCAGTGTTACATTTCCTCAAGGTTCATCACTATTTCTGCTGCTCAGTATTCAGTAACAGCATGCGCAGCATTTTAATATATACATATACAATACTCTTTAAAAGCATTTTGCCTTTTGAAATCTGTCGGGGGCATCAGACAAAACACGTTTCAATTTTAATTTTGCTAAAAGATACATAACTTCAACAAACCTTCGTGGTGTTCTTCCACTACAACTAAGTCGACTTGAGACTTCTTCGGATAAGTTTTCTTTGCATTTCTTGAGTTTATAAAATCCGCGTTCTTTACAGTTGTGTTTGAATTGTTGATGAGGAAATATATGAATATCACTGAGACAAATACAAAGACAGCAAGCAAACGCGAGGTGGCACGTCTGCCCCCAAACATTTCGATACGATGAAATTATGATCGATATGATGAGGTTCGCAGACTAATGAGACTATAGTCTATGGCAGGAACTTCGGACTGAATGATGGCTCAATGTCTCCGTTTGTAAAGTATTAATATTCGCAAATTACACGCCATACCACCTGTTTATACACCCACTTCTGTTTGTAGACTACGTGTTGCACTGAGCATGATTTTCAGTAAATAATAATATACAGTTTGTAAATCGGTCATTCAAAGTCTTTAATCATTTTGCTGCAGGAAGTACTTAGCATTGTAATAAGATAGGATCGTAAGTTTATATTCGCCCGACGTCAGCGGATGTGGCAAACCAACAAATTCTGAAGTGCGGGATTTCGTATTAAATTTTGAAGCAAATTTTCCCCGCAAGAAAATATAAAAAAACATTGTATGCAGTGCGGGCAGAGAGATATTTTAATTGAAAACGATCTAGACAATAGTCTACATTTTTTATTGTTGCTTTTTATAACTACTTTTAGCTGCCTTTACTGATGTTTTTATATGAAATATCGAAAGATATAATACAGTACTTTGAATGTTGCATGACGTTCGGTGTATATACGTGGTCCAATATTCACGAATTGCTTAAACTATCAAACTCCTTGAAAAATGAACGATCAAACTCACGCCTGGATCAAACTACTTAAAAATTTCGACGTTTCAAATGAAGACCCTTCGTATGGGAGATAACAGCGAGACGACAGTTTTTGCTTGAATCGTTGAAAGTGCTTTATATTTTTCAGGTAGTTTGATATTTCAATCATGCATGCGAATATCAAGGCAGATGAGAAGACGGAACTAAGGGGAACTGAAGTGTTCTATATTCAAACTAATAAAGAAAGACTACAAGCAGGCCCTTCATCCCTTGTTGACATCACAAAGAAATATATTGGCTCGATACTAAATAATATGTAGATACAAAATTTGACCTAGTAAAAAAAAGCTGTCGTGGTTTGTGTCTGAAGGCCATTGGTCTTCGTTCGGAACGTCGAGGCATTTTAACATTTTAACAGCTGTATATTCTAAGTATTTGGTAGATCAAATTCATTGATTCCAGTATACATAATTTGCTATCTACTACCTAGCCAATATATTCTTGCAATAAATTAAACTGTAGCCCCTTACAGTAAGATATGCGGAAAACATCAGTTCCTACAAACTTTGACACGAACATGGTTAAAATCTAACCAAGAATTTGGAAATCAACCAAATTGGAAATCAATATTCTTTTAATCATTGGCATCAGTGTTAATTTTTCTTGCTTCTACCATATACAGGGTGTACAGGGTGTATCAAAAAAAGCGCAACCTCGGAATTTCCCAAGAAATCGACATTGTTTTAAAGACAAAAGATTTAAGGCGCCTGGGAATTTAAAATAGCATAACTGTCAAAATTACTGCACACGCGAGTGCATAAAGCAAAATTTATGCATTTATTTAATGCACAACAACAGTAATATGATCTATTAGCAATTCGATTTCAATTCCCAGGGGCCTAAAATCTTTTATGCTTAAGAATTGCAAAGTGATTTCTTAGGAAATTCCGAGGTTGCGTTTTTATTGATACACCCTGTATATTATATGCATTCACTCAATTTCAATTCCACATGACCATGTACAGAAGAGTCACAGTTTCCAACTAGCTCGCTGGTACAAAGTCGTTTCAAATAATATTCATAAATCTTTAGTTGTCTATTGTTATTAGTTGTTAGTAAAATGAAGAATTTTTAATACCTACAGTAACTATTAAGAGATTGCAGCGTTTCTTAAAGATGACGTAATTTTACCAAGTTTTGTTGACATTGAACTTCCTTTATACTCCGCGATTCCATCTTCTGATGTTAAAAGCTCAGGCTGAAATAGCAAGATGATAAATGGTGAGTAATGTTCTGAATGGATTAGTGGTTATTAAAATACAAATCCACCACGTCCGTTAGTCCTGGCCAGGGATTGAAATTTTAAAATTCCTTAATCGCCCAAGTGGCTAGGTCTCAAGTATTCTCTTTGCATATAAATAGCATAAAAAGAAGAATGAAATGCTTGATCACTAAGATATTCTCTAAGGGCTCTAGAAAATTTTCCCAGTCGCCACGAGGGCCACTATTGGTCGCCAAATGAAAACCTTATTTCAACCTCTGCAATGTCCTGACACAGATATTGGGTGGAAACATATTATTACTATTATTATTATCATCTTCATACTTATCCAGGGTACCCACATCACCGAAGTGTTTTTCAGTGGGGTCCTGTAACTTTAAATTACAGTATATTAATTCAATATTTAGTCATGCACTATTTACAGCAACACATATATACAATATAATTATTTAAGAGTATTAATAAAGTCTGATTTCCACTCCAATCGAAACGAAACACAACGCACGTCTTTGTTTCAAGGGCATCTAACTCAATCTGAATGCTCACGAAACAAATACATACGCTAGCTGTACTACAATCGTTTGTTGAATAATTCTCGCATTATTGCAAAATTAATGTGCATTGACAAAATAAACTTGGTTATCACCTCTCCCCAAGTTCAATGTTGTAAACAACCCCGAAACAATTTTTTTGAATTTGCCATGACACGAGCTCAACATTGACTTAGGGGAGTGGGGGTTTAAGAAGCACTATGTAATTTTACAGGCTAGGCAAACCACAAACGGTTGGCAATGTCATCTAAGCTAGCAGATGGCAGGATGTTGTTTAACTTGTTTTCCTGTCGGCAAAAGTCTGGCATGGATATGGTGGTGTACTACTTTCCTCTAATTATAGCGAGTGTCGCTAAATTCGGTCAACTTAATAAACTCTGGTTTCCTCCGGTAATATAACACTGACATGGCATTTTGCATCATAGCGCTTGTGTAAGAAAGCAAAAAACTTTAAAAATCTTATGTTTTGTCATATGCGTTAAAGATTACCACAAACTGATACAAACACAGTTTTTAGTCCAGTCCCCCCCCCCCCCCCCCCCGGCAATCTCCATGTTGCCAAAAACGTCACTTGCGTAAGCTCCTTAATAAGAGATGCTTCTTCCTGCACCTCTAGGGCAACCGATTTTTAGAACGGATTATCCACTAAAATATCATTAACTTCTTTATTACAGGTACCTGTAAAGATTCAAATATTTTCCTTTTGGGATTAAGTTGTGCGTCAGGTTCTAAAAATTTGAAAACATTTTTCGTCAGTTAAGAGGTTAAACCTTCTTCAACACCCTCCAAAAAATTTAAGACTACGTTTTGAAGACCATTTTTCCGCAAATATTTCCTTTAGGGAACAGATTTTCGACAGCAGTTTAAACAGACTATTATGTGACAAACCTCCAAGTTTGTCGTGTTCATACCCCTCCACAGTTACTCGGTCACCAGGTTTACTGTCTGCTGGGGGATCCAACGGTACGATTTCACGTTTATCATCTGACCTGAAAATATACATCATACCGAATAAAATAGTTTTACTGAACATTTACAAGTAGACCTACCACTCTTTTGCGTGAGTAGATCAATTGAAAGAATGTGTCGTTTCAATTCGTAAGGACCTACCCAGTCACGCTTGCACACAACAACATTGCTTCAGATTTGATACCTAATGTTAGACAATTAATAAAACAAGAATGATTACCAAGCCCCAAACATTGAAATAATAAAAGACGAATACAGTAGGACCTCGCTATCTCGAACTTTTTGCTGTTTCCCTTGGCTGTTCAAGACAGCGGGATTTTACTGTACCTAAGCCCCTCACCAGGCAAATTTATTCGGGCGAAGCGACTTTTTCGTTTTTCGACATCGCTTATCACGTCAGCAAAAGCGATGCTGACAAAGAAAAAAGTCGTTTCGCACGAACAAATTTTCCCGGTGGAAAACGGGCTTAACACAAAAGGGATATCGATATTTACCTCGCATATTTACAGGTTTAAGGTTACATAGTACAACAACTTGACGATCTTGGAGTTTCTCCAAAGGATAAAGACCGGATAGCCCACTGACTACAGTACGTGGTGCTACAATGATAGAAGATTTTTCCTGGATTTCTTGTGACCAAAATACTTATGGCACATGGTAATTGGCAATACAAGGACTTACTGAATACAATACGTTTTTATGTGTGTAGACCAAAAAGGAATGGCATTTAGTTAAGTGTAATTAATAAGTAAACGAGAATAAAGTTCACATACCAGGTTCTCCAACGTCTACTTTCTCTAAGTACAAAGTGTCCGCCTCAGGATGCTATATCAACAAAAAACACGGAGTCATCATCGAGCAAGCAAAGGAGTCATCAGAACTCAAACATTTATCTCCACAAACGTTCTCTAATATACCTTTTCAGCAAACACTATTTTTCCAACTCTTATATCAAGTCTTGAAGGATCAACTGCTCTGTCTGAAGCGGAGCTACCACCACCTTTGGCTTCTACAGAAAACAAGAATTTTTATCATAATCTGGGCATGAATTTATAAACTGAGTGTCATATACAAAATGATGTAGAGTTATTGCTTACTTTTCACTTTTTCAACAGGATAAGCTTGTTGCTTCAATTTCTGGAGTTCAGGAGATTCAAACTTTTTCCTAATTGGGTCTAACAACTTCCTCAAAATAAACAAAATTTATGTTATGGTATGACCAGATATGTAGTTTCCACACATAATAACCAGTGTGCTAATACACCCTTCCGGAAAATACTTTACAGCCTTGGCTACAGAGCCTCATTTTCGGGTTTGGGATATCAGCTTTAGAGGCCTTTATCACAGAATACTACACAGAAGTCCATCTCCACTGCTTTTTGCGTAAGCTCTATTCGTCATGATTCGTCACTCAGCAAGTACCGTAAACAGAAGCAGTCACCCCCTGGACGTGCGCCATTTTTAGTATTTCCAGGGGGGACTGCTTCTGTTTACGGTACTTGCTGAGTGACGAATCATGATGAATAGAGCTCACGCAAAAAGTCTAACTATCTAATATAACTGTATACGATTTCGTAATTAACACGACAAATAACTCAAAACCCAATATCTCAAGTCACGAAAACGAGGCTCTATATTACTATAGCCAAGGCCATACTTTCCAGACGGGTGTACTGATTGCAATCGGTGTCCAAATTATACTTTTCATGAGTTCTAAGAAACTTGATGCGGGATTAATCCAATCTTGTTTTAGGATAGTGTACTTTATTAAGCTTTCGTAGGTAGGAATGCAACTATACCTGAAAATAGAAAGAGAATTTCGACGTTTCGAGCGAAGGCCCTTAGGCTAGTAACTCCAGTTGAAAGGCCTTCGCTTTTTCAGGTAGTTGTATTCCTACCGACGAAAGCTTGTTCATATTATTGCCACTACTTACACTGGCACAGACGGTTCAAGATTACCTTATTAAGCGCCGTTGTCACGCCGTTCTTCAAGTCTTGTGGATGAAGTTCCTAAAATCAAATATTTTACCCTTATTAATCATTTTTAATTAGTAACCAGAGGTAGAGAACTTTTGTGTGCCTGGGACCACAAAACAAAGAAGTATCAGACCCATCCTCGGTCCCAGGGCCTCATGGCTAGGATGTATCAGAGCGTGGTATTGGAGTAAGTACTATGCGATTTATCGCACCTGGTGCACTAAACCAGATTTAATCGTTGCTTTACCTTCTTCGCAAACGTATCTTCAACATCCTGGTAAGTTTTAAATGTAATATTTCCACCGTTTTCCTCCCTGCGATGAATGACAAAATCTAAACAAAGATACGTGTAACTTGTTACCGCCATGTTACGCGAGGTAACTCACAACTTTTGCTGCAATCCTTACCTTTTCCACCTTGCAATTCCAAAATTGGGAAAATAACAAACTTTGCAAACGAAAGAATACCATTCTCTGTAATATTTCCTTCCTCGCAGAATGCCTGGATATAATAGAATCAGACATAATTATAGTCGGATCTGGAAAAAAGTTGGATCTCGTGGCGTCTTGAGGAGTAATGGCAAGAAGATTGAGGAACATTTTAAATTTTGCACACAAACGTTATGGAAGAGTCTTAAGGAATCATTAAATCATACTTCCATATTGTCATTTGAAACATGTAACATAAATACAGTCCACTTTACTTTGTTTTTGCATACACACACACACTTCGCCA